TTACATCTCAGATTTATTTATTTATTAGCATTGTCCGCAGCTCCGCCGGCGTTCTAAATCAGCCTATCGCCGTCCACTGCTGAACAAAGGCCTCCCCCAAAGAGCGCCAACCATCCCGGTCTTGCGCAGCCTGCATCCATCCACTTCCAGCCACCTTTCTTAGGTCATCTGTCCATCGTGCTGCAGGGCGTCCTACACTACGCTGGCCTAAACGCGGTCTCCACTCTAGCACGCTTCGGCTCCATCGGCCATCCGTACGTCTGGAGACATGACCAGCCCACTTCTACTCTTACATTGCAGTTTTTGTATTTTTTCTCAGAAATGAGACATTTTCCCGCGGTAAAAATATCCTATATGTTGACCCGGATAACCAGCTATCACCATACCAAATTTCATCGAAATCCCTTTAGTGGTTTTTTGTGATGCGGTAACAGACAGACAGACAAAAATTGTAAAAACCATAGATTCGGCTTCTGTATCGATAATAATGTTTATTTTAATAAGATTTTCCAAATAATACCTAATGTACAGATTCGGTTTAGTTACAATTTTATTATATGTATAGATAAAGTTTAGTTAACATCACACTCAGTTATAAGTATATCTACGACACGTGCTCATAATATGAACCAAGACGTGTAAATTATATGCAATTTTGTATTGTTTTTAGTATATCTGAGTACAAAAAGATAAAACTTTAATAATACTTTTAATATTTTACGCTAATAGAACTCGCCGACCAGTGAAGTAAATAGAGATTCAGTTTTTGTAAATAGCAAAACAATTAAGGAATTATTCGACGTCAGGTATATACATCGTGATACTCTATTACTCTTTATATTTGCATTATAAGAACGATGAAAGCTTATTTTCTGAAGCAGTCTAGCGAAGGGCATCTCAAAAATTTTGCAATTTGAATTCCATTGTAAGTGGACTTCCACATGGGACTGATGGAGATATCCTACATACAAGTACTTTGCTTAACTATTTATTTCTTTATTCTAAACAAAAACAGATTCATCTGTTACGAAGAAAAATAATTTCGAAGTCATCTAGGCATTCGTAAGGCCCTTTCTCTAAGATACGAAGTATGAAATGCAAGGTGTTCAGTAAAAGCACGTTCACGCACGTCCAAAACGTTGATACTGATCGTAATAGAAAATATTCCAGATGATTCTAGCAAATTCCAGGTAACTGTCAAAATTAACTCCTAAGTTTATGATTCCATATTAGTGTCAGTAGTAAGTTCTATGTGCGAGACAGAGTGACTTATTTCTCTGTTTTGCATCAGCGTACAAAACATTGTAGGTGAGTATTCAACCAAGCCATGCTTTGTTCTTGAACCAGATTCGACTGAATATCTACATAGTGAAGATAAAAAATCATGCGAGAATTAGACCCACGACTTACAATACTGCGCCAATGCAGTTATAGCTATACAGATTAATACGATCATCCATTTTATTTGTAAAATTAATAAATTTACCGAAAAATATACATATATTGTATACCACTTTTAAGGAATATAAAATGAAAGAAAAAATATATTAATACGCCAATGTGTGAATTTCATTTTAATTTAGAGTGGGGTTTTCGACACTCCAGTAAGGTACTATTTTTATTCGTGTCGACATATACAACAACTCAGTAATTACATGTTCAGGCACACGCAACTTAACATTTACACCATTTTCCAAGTTTATTCTAGAAACTATGTGCATATTAATTCGATTCAGTTAATTCTCTTTATATTTATAGCGAAGCTATTTACTTTTAATATCGAGGGCAGTAAAAATAATTCATTTTATTACTAACAACAGCTGCAATATGAAATTGCATGTCGGTTTTTTCATTATAGCTATTTTGATCGAAATAAAGCTTATAAATTGGGTTCATATCACGTCAGTCAACCGCGAACAAATTGAGACAGTGCAAAAATAATGCTTTCATATTAAAGATGAATCGAATGATCGATCGAGCGAGCGTTCCTTTTAATTTCGATTCCCGAGATAGGCCCGGGGGCGTGGCTGTGTGAACGATTTGTTTCATGTCCCTTAGTGCCTACCTTCAAGGAAAAGAACAAAGAACCTTTACTATGATTCTATTCGATATACTCGTACTGATATATTGTGAGTTTATTTTATTATATATATGATATATTGTGAGTTTATTTTTTTATATATAGAGATTATATTACATGTTTATTGTTCATAAGACGCGATGTTCATTATAAAATTGGTAATATTTTCTAAGCGTATTAAGTTCACAGAAAATGATATTGTTAAAAAAATACATAATAATGATTTCTTTTGTATTGATTGAACATGTTATGGTTTATTAATTCCCACATACCAAATTTAATCCCGAAGTCAGCGCAAAGATGAAGTCTGAAACGTCGCAACCACATAAGAGAATCAGTCAAAACTTAGTGAATCCAATATCTAAGTTTAGCGTCTGGCTGCAGCGTTGCACCGCTCGATAGCGGTGACAGTGACGGATTACCCAACGCCACGCCGTCGTTATCTCTACTATCAAAGAATAAGCCCGTCGAACACGAATTGTGCAAAATTGTATACATCCAATATTGTTTGACAATTTATTTAGTTTAATTTATTTTACTTTTTAAATTTAAAGTAGGTGTATTTGGTTAAAAAAATTGTTTAAAGACATAGTTTTGCTTTTTTTTGAAAGATACGTTAGGTTAGTTTGTACAAAGGAAAATCGCTTTACATTTTATAGTAGATCTTATTACGCTCATTTTCCTGTTTAAAACAAAATTTATGCGAATGGTGTAGCTATCTATACTGATAAAATCATAGGATAATTAGGTATATATAAAATTATATGTTAATTTATTTCATGAAAAAAATAAGGAAGTTGTCAATCATAGGAAATATCTTTTCATTTTGTTTGTTGTTCTGTTATGGTCGGAAGACTAGCGGATGTAGGCTAGTTTTTTTTTGTTTTACATTAATTTATTTAAACATAATATTAATATTGTAACGTTTAGAGCAATGCACGTTATATTAAAGTTAATAAAAATATAATTATTTTAGGAGAAAACGGTTTTATGTATTTGTTAATACTCTAAAGCTATGCTGAAATAAAATTTTATTATTTCAGCTATGTATACTACTGTGTACAACGCCGTATATTGTTAGTACGACGCTCGTACGAGTACGTTTCCTAAATGAGAAATAAAATACAATTCTGTCTACTTAGTAAAGAAAAACGGCTTAAATACAGTTAAAATTACACCAATATAAACGGGGAAGTTTTTGAGTAAATGAGTGTTTGTTACGTTGAAACAGTTCAATGCATTTGAATAGCTATATCCTGGAATGCGTGGTTACTTTTATCAACCTTCTGACGTGACAGAGTCCGCGCCCAATGAGTATATAAATATTGTTTATTATTGATCTATTATTTAATAATTTTTAACATAAAGTGGCAATTTTGTTGAATAGATATATTTGTGGTGTGGCAATAATTTCTTACGTGTCTTCCAAGTCATGCTAACGCGGTGTTCAACACTGGGCCCCCCAGCGAGCTCTGCGGGAGGCAGCTCCTGTCCGCAGCGGTAATTGTACTCAAATATGAAAATATTGCTATAACACTACTGGAAACCTTGTGAAGCATTCGTGAATCTGGTTATTCGAAGTTTTTTTCATTCATTCTGGTTAGATTCATAGCAATTTCTTTACAAAAAAAGTCTTTTACTTCAACATTTGAACATTTATTTTGAAACGCTGCTCAATTTTCTGAGCTATTAAAAGCATTTAAATAGTCATCGATTAAATTTAATTAATTTGATTCGAACGTCCATATGTCCATCTATATAAATGTATAAAATTTAATTTTAAACTTACAAAAAATAGTTTAATATCATAAGGAATCAAAAATTTAACATTATAATGGCATAATGCAACGCGTATTGAACATAACGTAATTTGAACATAGACCCACATGGTGAGGTCGCGTTCTCACGGCCGACGGATGATGATGGATCATGTAGCACGAGCTTTGTTCTATGTCTCGTCGTTATTTGGGATCACACTGTATTTTTTATTAATATTACACGAACAACATTTTGGGATCAGTTTCGATATCAAAGCACACGAATTAGCGTAACATTATTGTAAGTTGAGTGTCAACAGACCATTCCGTCATTCGGAAAGCTTTATTTTTATCTTGTAATGTCATATCCGTCAAAATTATCTATAAATATGACAAGCGAAATATAAATATGTTGCAAATATGAAAATTTCTAGATTTTTAACTCTGTCATAATCATGATACCACTTTTGTTTGGCAAAGTTCTGGATGTACTCCAAGAAAGTGTTATTTCAAATGCTTCAAATGCCTTAATATCAAAGATAAATTACACTTTGTCTTGTCTTAGACATATAAAATAAACAGAAAAATAAAACTTATTAGAAAAAAATGACTTGTTTTATCAAGTTATAGAAAATATTGTTAGTCCTTATAATTGTGGAAGTCTAGTAAAATTATGTTCTAAAATGTTCTCACTTATAATTTGTGTTCATGGTGCATATCGAATATTTCGTTCCGTTACACGGCACGGTGGCGGGTCGCTGGGTAAAATAATACCAGCAGCGTACCAGCGATACCACTCCCACACCCACTATAAAAAAACAGTTACAGACACGAGACGTCGTCGCGCCATACAATTCAATATATTTCGGAGTAATTTGATGTTCATTAAAGAAACTCTGGGACCGTGAACCAGAACACAATGGTTGAATGGCCATTTGTTGCTGCTGTTGAAAGGCACATAATAATTCTTACGTGAGTAACATAGCAGTTAGTGGCACTTACAAAACAAAATTTTCCATTGTATGAGAACTATGAAATTTATCTATTTAGTAGTTCTTGCAATTTAAATCCTAAATATGAAATTATATAAAAATGATTTCTCATAACGAGCCCAGGACTACAAAGGGCTATATAAGATTATGAAATTATACATAGTAGCTTACCTTGTTGGCTGCTTTTTCGCGTCGTTTTTTTCTCTTTCATCCATGGATATTCGGGAACATTAAGGCCACCTCCTGGTGATGGCAGGTCAGGAGCATACCCAGGAGGTGTGTGTTGCGGACTCAGTTCACCACCACCCAATTGTGGGAGTGCCGTCATGAACTCTGCCATCGATGGTTGACTGTTGATAAAGCCGGTCTCCGTGCAGGTCTCGAGCATAGGGTGGGGTCCCCCAGCCGCTGTGACTGCTGCAAGCCAGAAGCCGTTACCGCCATGTTCCATGCGCGGATGTTCTTGCCCCGGCGCGAGTCCTATTGGCGGTGTGTTTCTCGTCTTCACTGCGAAATCTTCTTCCATTTCATCTCGAACCCCCATACCAATTCGCGTTGATTGTTTTCCTCTGACAGGAAACTCTTCGCATTTTATCTTGCGCACCAATGGATTACTGTCGAGGGGCAGCGCGGCGGTGTTGCATATTTCTTGCATCGCTGCCGGTGTCACCCACTCACGCAGCAATCATTCATATATCGATTTACTTTTTTGTTTCGCGGCATGTGCTAGCATGTTTACAATCATACGCTCTTTCGTTCTTGCAATTGTCATATACTTGTGATATTTATCTGGATTCCCACACGAAGCATAACGAAATCTGAAAATTGAGAGTAATATTTCAGTTTTTATTTTTAAATAAAGAATATGTAAATAAATCTATACATTCTAAATGTAACTTCAATAAAGTAAGTATAAAATTATCCAAGTAGATTCTAAAGTGTAAGCTCTTTAACAAAGAATCCGAGGTCATTTGTAACGACGTAGCAATAAAGCACCGTCTAATCGTTCAATGTTGCGCCAAATAGAGAGATGCCGTACTAAATGTAACAGGAGGAGGTGGCTGTCTCGTGGTTATTTCTCAATTATTCGCGGACGTTCGACATTACCGCGGTTTTGTGTCGAATAATTTAAGCCCCAGTCGTGATGAGCGCGAAAATAATGAGCGCTCGAAATTGTTTATTGTAATTTAGCAGCCATCATGGAGTGTATAGCACGTAATGTCGACTGAACAATAAAGTTATTAAAATTGTCATGAACTCCGTTAAACAACAATACGATGAAATAATAAATAACTTACTGAAAATGTAAATATTTTCATGTTTTAATTTATTGCTGGGATATTTTTCATGTTTTAATAAATTAGGATGAGAATTTAAAAAAAAAACGATTATGCTTTATCTTATAAATTAGGTTTTACATTATGTTAGGTTGTTGGAAGATACTAGTATTTTATTTAACTTTTTTGAATATAATTTATTAAGCAGTACATTTTAAATATCAGACATATGAACATATATCTTGGAATGGTCTTCAAGATATGCAATGGAATGGATCTTCAACACTGAATATCCAGTGCCCTTATAGATGTACTCGGAAAATGTTCGCAAACCCTGAAAGTACCGCAGTTTTTGCCTATGAATGTCAATTAAAATACAAACCACGTACGAAATACGATTTTTTCCGTGGAATTTGCGGCGCACCCGGGAGGTATGGTGTGATCGCGCCTCTTGTTTTATTTTATTTTTTCCAGAGTGGAACGGCTGGCGGTTAAACCTATTTTAATGTGTATGGGTCGCTCGTCGAATTAAAATTCTCTGTACGTTTTTATATGTGAATGGACAATGAAATGTAATTTCCTTTGTAGAAGCGATGTTTTATATATGCGCATCTATAGTATGTCAAAAATATTGTTTCTTATTATTACTTTTAATTATTTTTTAATGTCAAATAAAAAAACTTTTATTAAGCACGAAAACATATCTTTGGGAGTTTATTTACTTAAGTGGAAGGATTTTTTCAGGCAATTAATATGATGGAAGCATGGATGATTTTCTTAGCTGAAATATTTTTAAGAATTATGCCGTGTACAAAAAAATAATAAAAAATATTCCAATGTTCTAACTTTTAAGTTTAACCTATGTGATCTTTAAGTGTAAAGCTCAAAGATTAAATACAATATTATGAAGTAAATTACATAAGGACAATGCAATTTGTGTCAAGACTTTCGAGTAATCATGGTCCAAGTAGCAGAGTTCAAGGGTGGCTGTGGGCTACGCCGATATTTAAGACCTGCAAGGTTTTATATCTACTTGACTACAGTTGCTGATTGAAGTCACTTGCTGTTTATATCTTACATATTTTCCAATAGCACTTTAATAACCTATACGTCAATCTTGTGTTTATATGAAAATGAGTTAAATTAAATATAAAATGACAAAAATAATAAATTAATAATATAATACTTTATAAAAATCTTAAAGCAAATCTTTGTTAGTTTTTCTTAAATTGAAATCTGTTCAGCATTTGCCATATTCATTATATGTAAACACTAATGGTGACACTTTAAAATTTCCCAAGCTTTATCCTTTCCCTCTTGTTTTTTGCGAGGGTGTGTTTTACGCCACGTTTCACTTCCCGCGACCTTAGGGGGGCCCTTTAAAAACGCATAAAATGAGAGCATAGCCTACTTATGAATTTGTTTATGGCGCTATTTCTAGAAAACGACGGTGCAATCAAATCTGTATGCTCATAACGCAATAACTTTCCTAATTTACCGTTCATAAATCTTTATTGATATGATATGTGTAACAAACTAGAATATTTTTCTTAAATCACTTAGGGTGTTATATTATTCTAAAAAGTCGAAAATAAAGTGAAAATTTACAATAAAATACGTATGTGACATGAAATTTCTATGTAACTATATCTGTAAATATATTATTTTAAGAATAACTACATTTTACCTAAAATGGTACACTCATTTCGAAACCACTCAAAAAGTAAAAAATAATTCTAGAGTTTTCTCTACAAAGAGTAGATGCGCCGCACCACCTTTGAAAGCATAACCGTTTTGTTCATAAAAGAATCATTAAAAATCACTACACAATCGGCGATGAAAACACTTAGTGTACACTTGAGTAGGTACATTTTCTTTCTAGTTTGGTCTTCGATCAACAATTACAATTAATTTTAATTTTATTATTAAGAGTTTGGTTATTCCATCAATTTATTCGAATAAGAATCAACAATTTTAAATAAATGTGCGCAACATCACTATTCTGTACAATGTAGTATCAAAATCGATTTACTCATTATTTAGTGGTAAAAAGTCCAGAGTAAATAACATCTGCGTGACAGGACGGTTCGCAGTTCAAAGTAGTGGTTAGGGCCCAATTTACCGTCGTAACGATTTCCTCTTCGGGGAATAGAATTGCGTGCGGCCTCCTCCTACCGTCCACGTACTACCCGGCATATACACAATAGTATATAGTCTTTGTATGTGTGTACTGTGTATGGATAGGTTGTTAGATAAGAAAAGCAATTTTGTAAATTGTCTCCTCTTATACTGAAATAGCAGTCTAAGAATACAGTATTCCTAGAATTTGTTACTGCATTATTTCCATAGTAATCTAGGCAATCAAATTTTATATAATAAATATAGATGACGTTGTTCTATATAATGTTATACATACAATTTTTATCAATTTAGAAGTATATAAAGAAAGTAGCCACTAAATAACCGGTAAATCGGTAATTCTAATATTATTATAAGCCTGGAACGAGCCTGGAGGAGTTAATGTTTTATATTATTTTTATATATTTTTTAGGTATTTTGAAAATCAATATAAAATTTTCGAAATTCAAATAGACTTTATGACAAGCATTCTTTAGTTGTAATTAATTTTATTTTACATTTAAATTAAAAGTGAAGAAGCTTCCAATGACTTGACAGTTAGGTGATGTACCAAAGATTATGCACCGGTGCATTGCAATTACACAATGTACTCGTACGATATCTGGAGTGGACAATTGGACATCGAGGAATTCACTGATAGAATCAACGGCGCCGAGGCTCATGTCATTGTCTAATACGTAATTCCCACGCAATGCGATGACGACCACGTAATGAGAGATCATAACTAAGCTTTAAGGCTACTTCCAGACTAGCAGATAAAAAATGATCATCATATATCTAAAAGCTTCTGTGTGCTAAATATAGATACAGTTTAATTTTACACATAATCCTATTTATACCCGACTGCGGCGAGGCTCAAGGAGGGTTATGTGTTTGACGTCTTTGTGTGTCTAACTCTGTGTTCCCTCGTAATTACTGAACGGCTTAACCGATTTTGATGATTTACGTACGTATCTAAGTTGTTATATTCGTCTTGATAATGCGAGTGTCTTCGAGTATATAGATATCATTAAAAATGAAAATGACGGATCATAGGCGTCAATTTGTGTCTTGAAAATTTTTTTTCGAATCAATTGAGTCGGATAATCAAAATACAGGTTTTTAAGAGGCTATTACAAAAATATACAAAACCTATATATTTAAAATTAATTTAGGGTAAGAAATTGTTAAATAAAACTAAAAATGTCTATCTGACCAAAACAAAAAATTTGTAAATAAAAAAATAACTAACAAAAATAAAAAACCCGACTGCGTAGAAAAGCGAATTGAAACGATGAGAACATGTTGACGAAGAAACATAGTATTATGCACTCGGAGACAAATGTACCTAAATGTTTTATATTAGCTGCGAGTGTGTGTCTGACTGCAAAATACTATGTTTCTTCGTCAACATGTTCTCATCGTTTTACTTTACGTTTTACCCAGCGGAGTTTTTATTTTTAATTGATACTTGAGCAATGTTTATTCTTAAGATAACACACATAATTTCTGTCATAATTATCTGTATTATTGTATAATTTAAAATAATGCGTGACAATAGCCTTAAGACAATCGCCTACATCCTTGAACGATTGGGTGTGATTGACAACAGCACAAAATACACATAATTTATATACTTTATCAAATTATAGTCTTCAATTCTAATAATACTGTTCGTGCGTCGCCACTAGCACAATACCTACAATGTTTGTCTAAAACTAACTATTTGAGTCACGAAACATATAGAATAGCATAAACTGTTATTTATATTTTAAACTAGTTGAAAGCACAGCTAGCGTTGCGTTAAACACATTTTTCATTATATGTTGCAGTTGGGTGATTTATCAGATTGACATTTAAGTAAAATATTGATAAGTCCAGATATTTCCGCTCATAGACTAATTATTGTTTACTAGCATTGCCAGCGGCTCCGCTTGCGTTCAGATGACCAAAAACCAAATTCTTAGGTTTTACACATTAGTATACTCTTACATTGCAGTTTTTGTATTTTTTCTCAGTAAAATGTATTCTATATGTTGACCTGGATAACCAGCTATCACTATACCAAATCTTATCAAAATCCCTCCAGAGGTTTTTCCGTGATGCGGTAACAGAAGACAGACAGACACACAGACAAAAATTCTAAAAACTATTGATATATAACTATAATTCGTCCTCTGTATCGAAAATAATGTCTATTTCAATAAGATTTTCTAAAAAATATTTAATGGACAGATTCGGCTTAGTTACAATTTTATTA